CCCGGCCACCGTAGCCTCGACCTGCTGGGCTCCGGCGAGCCTTCCGCCTCAGCCTTCTAAGTAGCTGGAACTATAGGCGCGTGCTACCACCACCCAGCTAATTTTTTGATTTATTGTAGAGATGAGATCTCGCTTGCCGAGGCTGGTCTCGAACCCGCGGGCTCAGGCAATCCACTCACCTCAGCCTCCCAAAGCGCGGGATTACAGGCTGAGCCACAGAACCCGGCTTGATCACTATTTTTAAAATTGTGTTTAATAGTTCTTAAATCTTATCCTCACTGTATTGTATTTCATCTTATCCTCCTCTCTTGAGCTACTACCTTTATTATGTGCTAAAATCATGTGTTTTGTAATCATTTCTGGAATTAAAAAAAAAATTGTTTATTTATTTGTTGATTCTTTTTTTTTTTTTTGAGTTGCAGTCTCACTCTGTCGCCCAGACTGGAGTGCAGTGGCCGCTCCCGGCCACCGCGGCCTTGACCTGTTGGGCTCTGGCGATCCTTCCGCCTCAGCCTTCCAAGTAGCCGGAATTACAGGCGTGCGCTACCACGCCCAGCTGATTTTTTGATTTATTGTAGAGATGAGGTCTCGCTGCCCAGGCGGGTCTCGAACCCGCGGGCTCAGGCAGTCCACTCACCTCAGCCTCCCAAAGGCGTGGGATTACAGGCTGAGCCACCGAGCCTGGCTTGTTGATTCATTTAGAGGCAGAGTCTCATCATGTTGCCCAGGCTGATGTCAAACTCCTGGCCTGCAGCAATCTTCTCACTTTGGCTTTCCATTTATCTGTTTATTCATATATTAGTGCCACATAGTTGTGTGTGTGTACAGTGTGTGTGTATGTGTGTGTAAGCAGGTTTATTGAGAGGACAGAAAAGCTCCCACAGTGGGAGGGTACCTGAGGGGGTTATTCACATGATTTTTATCACAGATAATAAATAGGATATTTTTAACATCCGGCAGAACAGATGAGTTCTTTTTCAGTTTTCTTTGCCACTCTTATTGTAAGTGAGCTTCTAACATAGTTCTTCTGGTTATGAGTGGGTTTTTCCAGAATTTTTAAAAATATCATTTGGGCCGGGCTCAGTGGCTCAGCCTGTAATCCCTCGTGTTTGGGAGGCTGAGGTGAGTGGATTGCCTGAGCCCACGGGTTCGAGACCCGCCTGGGCAGGCGAGACATCATCTCTACAATAAATCAAAAAATTAGCTGGGC